CAAACAATTTCATGATAACTATCTCACTTTTTCTTATATTTATCTTAATTTAATACAAAATAACACAGAACGTTTTCATTTATCTAACAATATGGTAATACAACAGGTCAGTACTTAAAATGCACCAACAGGGTGTACAAGTAATGACCTGGGTGCATTATATATATTGGAGAGACGTTTCAATATATTATTGCGTTCTCTCTCCTGAACACCCTGTATAATTGTACTGATCACAACTCTAAATTTTAAGTAATATTTACATGCAATTTTGGCACAAACCGCAATAAATGCTATTGTACCGTTAATTAATAAGTATTAATACTAATAAGATGATCAAAAATATGACCAACCAAAAAACCTGGTCACTGGTACAAAAAACTTACAAATTAAAGTGCATAACAAGCGTATAAAAAAATATATAATAAAAAAATAACAAATATGAAAAATAAAGGTCACTTATACATAAATAGGAACATTAAATAAGAATGTAAACATAAAAATGTTATAAAGATTCTTTTTGATTTCTTATACAATTCGTCGTGTTCGTTTGTAAGGCTGTTCAATGGAGTCGTCAAGTGTTCTTTTACATGGCTGTTCAATGGAGCCATCAAGTTCTTGGTCTGATATTAGAGCTACCACTTTTTCTTTCATTTCCACATCCTACAAAAACCAATTATTAATTTGTAAGAGCAAAAATTGCTTCTTTCAATAACATACGACAATTTTACTGGAATAATACTTTCTTGTGGACTACTTTAAATTTCTCATTTCACACATTTCGTAGAGCCCTTTAAATAAATAAAAATTTAGTACTTACATTGTGAAGCCAGGAATGTTTTTCAATTTGCTCTGCATCCGCCCTACTGTTCGGACTTACAGTTAACATCTTTTCTAAGATAGATTTCCCATCATTTGAAATAGTTTCCCATATTGGTCCGTTGGTAGAATACTTTCCACGAATGATTAAGTTACGTAACATTTGCAAGTTGTCCGACTGTTCAGGCCTTAAGAAATAATAATGATAACAGAATAAATTATTTACTTGCATTAAAACAACTAAATATAAAGTATGGTGAATACGCTAACATGAAATTACGAAAGCGAAAGAATTTAAATGATATTAATGAAATTTGAATGAATTTTAAATTTATACGGTCATCTGCAGACAACTTCCATTATTCATTAATTATGGTATATTTCTCAATTTTCAATATTAAGGAAAAGGAGAAATAGAATGGCTTGGAGACATGAAGAACTAGTTAGAGACATATTAGAAGCAGAAACAGGAGTGAAGGAGGGCAGACGAAAGCCTTGATTAGATTACTGTTCACGATTAGTTAAGAATGTGGGATGTTTTAGTTTTTTGAAGATTGACTAAGAATATGAAGATGTGGAAGTGCCTGTCCAACCAATCTTCCAACTGACACCTTACAATGATGTAAGTATTATTTTCATAATTTCTTATATATAAATTTAAATATCACAAAAGGAGAACTTCTTTTTACAAACGACTTACACAAAAGGTAATTTCGTTGAGAGCATATAGTATAATATTACTCCTGTACTCCAAATATCAACTTTTTTGGTATATGGTATACCGCGGTATTGGTACACCCACACTTCGGGAGCCACAAAATGTGGCGTGCCACAAGCAGTTAAAAGCAGCGTATCATTTTCTGTCACTTTGCTGAGTCCGAAGTCTGACACTTTTACAACAGTTTCCACATTATCTGAATTTAGCAATATATTTGCAGGCTACAAGACAAAATTCATGAATAAAAATTGGTACATAAGTATATACCATTTTACTTTTAAATCTCTATGAGTAATTTCATTATCGTGTAAATATTTTACAGCCCTTATAATTTGATAGAAAATTAGTTTGGCTTCCTTTTCCGACATACAATCCCTCCTTAGAATCCTGTCATGGAGTGTTCCCCCATCCATGTATTCGAGAACAATAAAAAAAGCCTCGTCATTTTCAAAAAATTCCATCATTGACACAATATTAGGCTGCGTAAGAAAAAACTTAAAAGAACACGCTAGAAACGATAAAATTGAATAACTTACATGAGATAACGAACTTAAAATTTTGATCTCATTTTTAATTTTACGAGTGTCATTTTTATTACTTGAAACTTTGCCCTTTACAAGTTTTTTTATTGCACGAGGCCGACACCCTCTCTGTAAAACAATTACATGAAAATTTTAAACAGTGAAACTGTGTTACCTCCAACAGAAAAAATATAGCTTTTCACTGTAGTGTATGTATTATGTATTTTCATATACCTGGTATAAATATATAAATGAATATAAAGCACTTAACAGGATCTATTGAAGTGATTTTAAATACGATTACATCTTTTGTAAAAAATAATTATAAGGGAACAATGCCTTAGAAAAATTAAACCAATTAATACAATTGTTTAAAAAAATATTAATAAGTATACATGAAGCTACTTACTTTTAAGAATGCCAGATTTACTTTACCAAAAGCCCCGTGGCCCAAAGTTTCTAAAATCACAAATTTCTTAAGCACTTCGTCAGGCACATCTTTTTGTTGAATCATTTGTTTGAACAAAAAAACTGCAACATAAAACACATTCAGGGTGGGCTATAAGTGCATGAATCTTTTTATTAAATTTTATATAATTATAAATCAAATATTAGA